GTCCGCATCCTCCTGCCTCGGCCTGAGGGTGCTGGGCCCCCAGACCGCCCCGCTGGCTCCTGTCCCCTTTCCGCCCTTGCGTCCTAACAGCCATCCGCTGGCTGCGCCTGGCTCCTCCCTCCGGGGGCATCCGTGGCGGCAGAGATTTCCTCGTCCTGTTGTTGATCGTTATCAGTTGGTGCCAGGACCGTGCGGGACACTAGTTGGGTGAGCGGCCAGTGCGGTCCTGGCGGGCGCTGTAGGGCGCTGCTCGTGCCGAGCTCTGTGTGCACTTTCCACAGCCGCCCTCGGGCCTCCCAGCTGCCGTCTCCCCGCTTTGGAGATGGGGAGACTGAGGCCCCAGAAACCGAGCCGCCGGCCTAAGGTCATGGGCGGCAGGTGGCACTTGGGCCGACGGCAAGAGCGCACACTTAACCGCTACAAAGACCAGCGCGACTTCATTTCCTCCGATAGCCACCCAATCAATACGCTGTTTCCTAGAGTCCTCAGCCCCAAAACACGCTAGAGAAGGTATTTTTGGAATTCTAATAAGTCCAGGGATTTTAAACGTCGTTTGGAAAGGACTCCATGAAGATGGAACGTAGCCTTGGTATTGAACGACTTTAAGTTGGGGCGGCTAGATGACCAGCCAGGAATGACTCCTGTGTCCAGAAGAGCTAACGCCTTTAGGTCTGGGGGAAAACGCTCACTCTCGCGATCAGGGTCAGAAAGGTTTGGGATACAACACATACTAAGCCCTCCTCTTAGAAATTCATGGTGCATATTGTGATCTAGCAATAAAGGCTGAGCAGCCACACACACAGAAAGTGCCCATATAATTTGTCCAAATGCAATCACTTGTGTCTAAGATAAACACTAGATCAGTCAAGGTAATAGGACGACCATTCTTGGACACCCTACAGAACCTGCTTGAACTCTGTCATTCTGCATCTCAAGAACTTATTTCAACAGAAAATGCTTTTGTGTAATGTTTTCCCAGTGTGGTGCTGGCACTGGGACTTCAGTTGGAACCACACTGGCATTAGGAATGATGCAGTGTCGTCATCGGCTCACACTCACGGGTGCAGACAGCCCAGCGGGTGCAAGAGCGCTTCCTGTTTTCCCGATTTGTGTCCAGTTCATCCTAATGAGCTCAGCTCCCCTGACATTCAGTCATCCCCGTAATTTGTGCTGTGTTTTCGACAGGATCCATGGCAGCTAATGTCCTAAAGGACTTGACGATGGATCATCCCACGCAGCCTGTGGGGAGTGGGTCCACTCAACACGCTGGCACTTCCTGCTTCTGAGTCTGAAGCGAACAGCCAGATGGTGAACCTGGTCAGTTCACTCCACGGGGAGCTGTCAGGGTCAGCCAGCTTGCCTTCCCCTCAGATGGCAACGCTGCTGCCCAGGCACCAGGTACATTGACTTTTTTCTAAGCAGGATGACAGGGCTACTGGTGCTCTCTTGCTGGTCTCATATACATCTGTCAGACACCGCAGACAACCAATGGAATGACCGTGCTGAGCGCAAGCTGACCGAGAGACATTAGAACCAGACTCCGCGTAGGAGGACACGAGGGTCCGGAAGGAACTAAACAACACACACTCGACTGAAGCTGTGAGGAGAGCGTTAATGAAGGGTCTGTTTACAGAGGAGTGGCCAGGTGTAAAGGAGCATGAGGCGGCCTGGAAGGTCTGCTGGAGACGGGGAACAAGGGCTGCCTGCAGAGGGGTGGTCTTCCGCCCGTCCCAGCCATTGTCAGAATCCCACCAGAGCAGAGACCGTGGAAAAGGACCATGGACTCTCCTCCCATCCTCCACATCCTGCCAGCCCATTGGCTGAACCCGGCCACAAGAAAGGCACAGGAGTCGGGAGCTGGAGGCTGTGGAAGTCACCTGCCCGGAGAGGAAAGAAGGGCCCACATGGGTTAGGGCCAAAGGAGCTAGTGCCAGAGGAAAGAGTCCAAATCATGAGCCTCTGGTTTAGGCCTTGGTAGTTGGGGTGGTGAGGCAGGGACAGGTTCAGGGCTCGGTGATTTTTCTGTGCTCTCCTGCCTCGCAGACCTTTCTTCTCTCTCCCCATTATGCCTCCCGCTCCGCTTGTCTAAGTCGTACCCTTCTTTCAAGGCTCAGCTCAGTTCCTGTGGCCTTTGCCAAAAGTTTCCTGGTGGCCCATTTCAGTATTGTGCCCTCATCTTACTCCCCATGCCTGTAATAATATTTATACTGATCATTTAACACCAAGTCTTTGTATCTTCATTGTTCTAGATCTTATTAATGACCTGATCCTCAAACTAAATAGAAGGCTCGCCCTCGCTGGTTTGGCGCAGTGGATAGAGCGTCGGCCTATGGACTGAAGGGTCCTGGGTTTGATTCCGGTCAAGGGCACATACCCAGGTTGCAGGCTCCATCCCCAGTAGGGGGCGTGCAAGAGGCAGCCAATCAATGATTCTCTCTCATCATTGATGTTTCTATATCTCTCTACCTCTCCCTTCCTCTCTGAAATCAATAAATATATATTAAATAAGTAAATAAATAATTAAATAAAAAGCTCCAGGAAGGAAGGATGGGTGAAGCTCTATATATAGTAACTGCTCGATAAAACTTTACCAAAGAGGAAAAAGAATTCCCCGAGGATACCACTAACATAAATAATGGTGTTTGATTTCACTGAGTAAATTCTGTTTAAGAAGATAAGTCATGTTTTCCTCTAGAGCAATGGGACTGAGCTTTTTTTATGAGCATAACCTTTCTTTTTTTCTGTGAAATTTAAAAGTACTGCAGGCTAATCACAAAACTTTAAATGATATTGAAGCATCCGAATTGGAAAGTAAAAGTCTTTTCCTTCTTCCTTGTACCCACGTTTAGTCAACTATTAATAGTTGCTTCATTTGTCTTAGAATGTCTTGATTTCCCTTTCGTTCCTGAGGATGTTTTCACTGGATGTAATGCTGTGGGATAATCTCTCTTTACTTTCAGCACTTGGAAAATATTATGGCCCTTCCTTCTGGCCTCTATAGTTCCTGATGAGAAATACTTTCTTACATGAATTACTTTTCCTCATTTATCTCTTGCTGCTTTCAAGGTTTTCTTCTTTGTCTTTAGTTTTCAGATGTTTGATGTGTCTTGATATGGATTTTTGTGGGTTCCTCTTGCTTGAGATATGTTCAGCTTCTTGAATTCATTTATGCCTTTTGACATATTTGGAAAGTTTTCAGCCATTATTTCTTCAAATACTTTTTCAGCTCTGCCTTCTTTCTCCTTCCTTCTGGGACTCGGATGACATGAATGTTGTTAGGTTTTTTGTTATAGTCCTGTATGTCCCTAAAACTCTGTTTGAATGTCACACACACACACACACAAGACAATGTATTCATAATTATTTTTAAAAAGGAGGGAACTATGTAAAAAATTTAAACTTTTGTATGGCAACTTTCTGGAAGGCAACTTGGTAATATCTACCCAGATTTTAAATGTTGAACTTGTTGTTCCAACAAGCCATCTCTGCAAACTTATCCTTGAATATGTAGTCACCAAACTATATATACTAATGTGTGTGTGTGTGTATTGCTCCTCAAACTGTATATATGAAAAGAACCTCTATTACAGAATTGTTCATAATAGCAAAAATGTGGGAACAACCCAATGTCCAAGGTAAAGAACGCAATAAATGATGTCTACCTGATTCAGTATGACAGCCCCTAGAGAGAATGAGCTAGATCGCCAGGTACTGGCAGTGACTAGATAGATCTCCAAGTAAGAGGGGTGAGAGGAGTAGGAAGTGGTGGGGGAGATGTTTGTGTCATCCCTTGGACACATTGTAATTATGTGTATTTACACATTATACCAGCATGTAGTTTCCATTTATGTTAATACCTACAATTTTTTTGGACGTGAAACACCAAATACTCTGCCTTGGATCGGGGACTTAGGTAGGTAGGGAAGAGACTACCAGCAGGAAACTGTATCTTAATTTTTTTCTCTTCTGTTTGAATTTTCCAACCTTGTACTTTTTTAATGTTGACAGGGGTTACTTGAGCTGTGGAATAATTAGCAGCCTTTGTTTTCCCTTTTCCCAGTCTCCTGCTTTTAAAACTAATATACTTAATATTAAGAAAAAATTAACCAGCCATAGAATTAGCTCTGCTTACTCACTGTGTTCATTCTAGGTTTCCAAGGTAATCTGTGTTAGCCTCTTTCCTGGCTGTATCATTGATGTGGGTTTTGATTACATTATTCAGTTACTTTTATAAAGTAGATCAAGATGCCAGATCAACTATCTGGATACGTAGGAATTGGTGTGTGGTTATAATTAGAGTTTATTGTTCTCACTGGATTGTTCCATATTAACATATTACATGCATATTACAGGACATTACAAAGTAGAATAATGGGGAACAATACTCTGATTAAATTTCACATTTTCTGAAGAAATCAAATACTTTTTTAATAAGTACCCTTAATCCCAAGATCGTATGTGTTAATTGTCTCTTATTCTTACCTCCTTAGAAACTTACAGATATCCAAAAATGGTTGAGATTGAACAGGCTGAGGCCCAGCTCTCTGAGTTAGACCTGCTGGCCAGCATGTTCCCTGGCGAGAATGAGCTCACAGTGAATGACCAGCTCGCTGTAGCAGAACTGAAAGATTGCATTGAAAAGGGGACAATGGAGGGCCGATCTTCAAAAGTTTACTTTACTATCAACATGAACCTGGACATGTCTGCGGACACAGTGGTAATTCAGCTTTGCTTTTGGGAGAATTGAAACACGTCAAGACTTAATGCTGAGGGCATTTTCCTTCTCTTTTGATCAGGTGGTGTTTTCTCTGGCCTGTATTCTTCCCTTTGAATACCCTGCAGTTCTGCCTGAAATCACTGTCAGGTGTGTTACAGGAACTGGCTAGCTTTTAAGGTCAAAATTAATCGGAGAATAATAGCAATTCTTGAGTTTGTTTCCTATTCCAAGAAAATGGATTTAATGTTTTATCTAATATCTTTTCTACCAGGTCAGTATTATTGAGTAGATCCCAGCAGACTCAGCTGAACACAGATCTGACCGCATACCTGCAGAGGAATTGCCTCGGAGACGTCTGTATACTGAATGCCACCGACTGGGTTAGAGAACACGCCTCTGGCTATGTCAGCAGAGACCCCGCCCCTCCCCCCATTCCAGAAAGTACAGTCCAGCCTGTCCATGTCATTCTCACGAGACTCTGGATCTATAGCCATCACATCTACAACAAATGCAAACGAAAGGATATTCTGCAGTGGGCAAAGGAGCTTTCCCTGTCTGGGTTTAGCATGCCTGGGAAGCCAGGCGTCGTCTGTGTGGAAGGCCCCCACGGTGCTTGTGAAGAATTCTGGTCAAGGTGGGTGCACTCTCACAAACTCTCTGTGCTGTGCCAATCATCTCAGTTCTCGACTAGATCCTGGAGATGTAAAATAAGTATTTCCCTGGGTGGTGCCTTTGGGAATTCAGTCTCAAGTCATTAGACAAAGTAGAACTCACACGTGGTCACATCACTTCGCTCATCGGACACAGTGCACATGGGAGGGTTCTGTAAAGAGATGTTGCATCAAGGCCCTCCCTTCCCATGGATCTGACTCTTCCTGCATATTCCTTGTGAAGCATGGGGGTTCCTAATCCTCTCACTTTTCTACTGGTTTCCTAAATGAGTATCTGAGGTGTCCCTTTTGGGAGTTTGAGAATCAGTACTTTCTGTATCAGTGATAATGCAACAAATAACTTTGGGGACAGGATTATGACCAGAATCACATTTGATTAAAATAAATCCCTGAGATTATAAAATAGATTTCTACCCTTCTAGGAAAGTAATGTTTTCAGTGTTCTTGAATGCACAACGCAAGTTTCAAATTTTCTACTTTGAAAATTTCTTTTCAGACTCAAAAAATTAAACTGGAAGAGAATTTTGATTCGCCATCGAGAAGACATTCCTTTGGATGGTACAAATGATGACATGGAAAGATGGAGAAAATTTTCAGTTTTTGAAGAAAAAGTGTTCAGTGTTAGTGGAGCCAGAGGAAACCACATGGACTTTGGTCAGCTGTATCAATTTTTAAATGCCAATGGATGTGGGGATGTTTTCCAGATGTTCTTTGGTGTGGAAGGACAGTAGCTGAGCAGAGGAGTCACTGAAAGTATTTTGTCACTGTTGTCAAGAGTGGGTTTTTACCCACTCTTTCTTGAAAGATTCAGTAATTTTCCTTCAGTCCGTTCTAGAATGTTAGGGGTAAAAGAAGGGAAAAAGTAGCATAGCTCAAGTGCATCTGTTAAAAATTGTCCTGATTGAAAGCAGAACTGAGGCTTTATTTATAATCTTAAAATTATTGACAGAAATACCTTGGCATATCTACCCATTTTGAAAGAGAAATTAATTTGACTTGAGTTAGATAATATTGGTAGTCCAACTTGCCACCCATTCTCTAACCCCTGCCCTTTACCTGCCTCCATGAGCTCTCCCAGCCTCTCTTGAAGCTCAGGTGGCCTGGGGATAGGGCTTTGGCTATGGGTTGCCTGGTAAAACCTTTGCTTTCCTGGTTATTATGATTGACAGCGAGAGCACCTCTTCCCCCTCTTTTTGCTGCAACGCCAAGGCTGATGGTTGGAGCTGCAGTAGCCCCTTCATCCACAAGGGCAGGAAGGGCCGGGAGAACCACAGAGATGCCAACGCCTGTGGTGAGCTGCTGATCCAGCACCAGCCCCTGCCTCGCTGTAGAGAGCTTATCTGTCTATATAAAAGCCTAATATAAAAGACAGGGAGACCAGGAGTTCGATCACTCGCTATGATGTGCGTTGACCACCAGGGGGTGGCGTGGAATGAAGGAAGGCCCCAGCCGGCCCTGATCGCCAGTCAGGCCTAGGGACCCTACATGGGCCTCTAGTTATGAAATAAAAACCATCTTATTTATATTTCTGTGCCACTTACTAGCAGTGGAAAGCTATTTTGCCAAATAAATTTTTGAAAGCTTTAGTTTTTAACCCTTTTCAGTCCAATGTGGAGGCTGACTCGACAGACCAGGCGCTAGGAGCAGGTCCAATGTCAAGGCTGAGGTCGACACCGCAAACCGGTTCAACATTCAATCCCATCAATTAATTTGGACCAGACTGTTTGAATTCCAAAAATAAAATTGGACCTCAAAGGTTTAATCTACACCAACCATTTGATACACAAATACGTGAAGTATTTCTTAAGTAGAGTTTGCAGCTCATATATATTTGTGTATACTTAATGCTCTGTTCCTGAGTTCACCTCACAGAAGGGTAGGGCATGAACTGAGCTCAATCTCTTTTTAAAAAATGTTTTTATTGATTTCAGAGAGAGGAAAGGAGAGGGAGAGATAGAAACATTAGTAATGAGAGAGAATCATTTATTGGCTGCCTCCTGCACACCCCACACTGGGGATCAAGCCAGAAACCCAGGCATGTGCCCTGACCAGAATTGAGGCATGACCTCCTGGATCATAGGTCAATGCTCAACCACTGAGCCACACCAGCCAGGCTGTACATTGTTTTAATAAAAAACACACTGCTATGTACAAATATACAGATCTCAAGTGTAACAAAAAACACATAGAATATAATAATATATTAGTTTTCTTCCCTGAGACAAACCTGTCAAATTTAAACATTGGATTATTGACAGAGTGACCAAGAAAATACAGATGTTCCAACCTCATGATTAGTAAATTCCTTTGAAAATGGGTGAGAGCCCTAACCGGTTTGGCTCAGTGGATAGAGCATTGGCCTGCGGACTGAAAGGTCCCAGGTTTGATTCCGGTCAAGGGCATGTACCTTGGTTGCGGGCACATCCCCAGTAGGAGATGTGCAGGAGGCAGCTGATTGATGTTTCTCTCGCATCGATGTTTCTAACTCTCTATCCCTCTCCCGTCCTCTCTGTAAAAAATCAATAAAATATATTTTAAAAAAAAGAAAAAGAAAATGGGTGAGAGTAGTAGTCAGCAAAAAAGAAAACAGCAAGTTAGATGGTCCTACCTACATTAATGTAAGAGACACAATAAAAGCTGTAAGAAGCTAAATGTTAGAGCAATATGGCTTCCTTAGACTTTAAAAGTGAATATATATTTAATATAAAGATCCTGAAATGTAAAACTGTTCAATATGTATATTCATTCCATAACGACAATTTTTCTATGTATTATTTCGGTAATACGTCTGGAACTAGAATCATCTATGAAGAAAGTGTTACCCTTAAAAGAAACTATTAATGCCAAATCAAATTATGATTAAAAGTTAAAAATCTAGAAAACAGTGTGAGCAGAAAACATTGGCTACATGTCCACTTTTATTTATAAAAGTAATTCCTATACAAACAATAGTATTCTTTTTTAAGTATGTTCTTATTGATTTTTAGAGAGATAGGAAGTGATTTAATAGCCTGCGTTTCTAACAAACACCCAGATGATGCTGATGATTGCATTTCAAAATCTCACACTGCCCTAGGCAGTTTGGCTCAATGGATAGTGTCCTACTGCCACCCTTGTGGGTGGGAGAACACGGCCAACCTCCCCTCCACCGGAACCAATCTCGCCTCCTGCCGCTGAGGAAGCGGAGAGTCAGCACTGTGGGCCCAGACTCGGCTTCCTATTGGACAGGGGTGACGTCACTCAGGGGGACGTGGCTCTAATTGTGAGGTGATGCCGAAAATTAGTCAAGGCCGCGGCGGGAGGCGGGAGGCGGGAGCAGAAGTGGGGCGGCAGGAAGACCGGGGTGGGCGCCGGAAGGGGAGGGCCGGGAAGTTGTTCTGTGACCGCTTCCGGAGGCAGGACCGGAAGTGGTGGCCCGGCTGTGTCAACCCGGGGGCTGTGGGCTGAGTGTGGCGGAGGTCGCGACCATGGGCGGGAAGAACAAGCAGCGGACCAAAGGGAACCTGCGGGTGAGAGC